GAAAAGCAAGGGCTCCTATGTTGAGCTGTTTAATTCTGCCCTATCCAGGTTCACGCTTTCGCCGTGCCGAGCCCTACGCGCGGTTTCCTGGAACTCTGCTGCAATTCCTGGCATCAGCTCCATAGTCCCCCACCCCTGAGACCCACGTTAGGGCCCACTCTACCAGTCATCAACACCTGCTAACCAGTGTGTGCCCAGAGAAGGCAGAGGATATACCCAAGTGCTCCAGGAAACCTAGCCTAAAGCCCTTCTCCTCTTGACTCTTGGGGAGTTAGAATCATCTGTCCTCTTCCTCCACTTCTCTGACCGCCCCTCCCCACGCACACATGCAGGTGCAGGAGCTGTGTGCATACATGCATGTACATGAGCTTCCACAAGCACACACAACTTTGTAAATGTCATAGGCAGTTCTGCTCCAGTCCCCCATTCCACACACCATCTGCCAGAAGCTATTTTAAGCACCTAATAAACTGTTTTAGAACGGTTCCTGGGGTGATCTGCCCTTTGCTTCCCCAGGGCAGAGCAATTGGGCTCCAGATGGAGTTAAACGTTGCAGCGCGGCAAAGAGGAGAAGCAAGAGTCCGTGGAGGGCTAGCAAGAGATCCCAATGAACTGCCTATGGTCAGTGTGTGTGTCTCAGCAATGACCGTGAGAAGCAGAGGTAATGAGGAAGGACATACAGGTCTGAACAGAGGCACAGCACCTAGATTCAAATCCTCGCTCTGGTCCTTCCTGTCCCTGTTCCCTTGAGCTAATAACTAAATCTCTACCTCATCAGTGCTACTCAAACAGTGCCTCACGGGATGTCAAACACACAGAAACCCCAGGGTTTCCTCTGCCCTAAGTGTGGAGTGGGGCTTGAAAACGTGAATTGCCAGTACGAGTTCCCAGGGTGTGACTAGTTCAGGGACTATCCTCTGAGAGCTGGAGACCTAACTCGTGAGCTTGTTCTAAGATGTAAAGCACCAGCACATAGTAAGAGTAATGATTCTCAACCTTGGCTGTACATTGAATCACCTGGGGAGCTTTTAAAAAAAAAGAAAAGTCCTGATGCCCAGCACCATGGAGCAATTAAACCAAGTCCATAGAGGTGAGATACAGGCGTTACTACTTTTTTAAGATTCCCAGATGACTAACATATGTAGTCAAAGTTGAGA